TTCGCTCGGAGTTTCCTGTCCTGCGCTTGGACTCTGACAGAGGTGGCGAGTTCTCCTCCGACCTCTTGGCAGCCTACTGTGCTGAGCACGGCATTCGACAGTCGTTCACGCTTCCGGCCTCTCCACAGCAGAATGGGGTTGCTGAGCGCCGCATTGGCTTGGTCATGGAGGTCGCTCCTACCTCCTTAGTCCACGCGGGTGCCCCCCACTTTCTGTGGCCGTTTGCGGTCCGGTACGCTGCGCATCAGCTCAACCTCTGGCCCCGTGTCTCCGCTCCAGAGACCTCGCCCACACTGCTGTGGACGGGGGAGGTTGGCGATGCGTCACGCTTCCGTGTCTGGGGATCCCGAGCTTTTGTTCGCGACAAGTCTGCGGACAAGCTCTCCTCCCGCACTGCTCCCTGTGTCTTTCTTGGCTTTGCCCCGGATGCGTCTGGCTGGCAGTTTTACCACCCCGCCTCGCACCGCGTCTTCCCCTCTCAGGACGTCACTTTTGACGAGTCCGTGCCCTTCTACCGCCTCTTCCCCTACCGCACTGCCCCGCTCCCTCCCCCGCCTCTCTTCCTCGCGCCAGGTGCTGCAGTGGTAGACCCCCTCCCCCCTCAGGGTGCCGCTCCCTCAGGTGTCTCTCAGGTAGACCCGGTTGAGCCTGCCGAGGTAGCTGTCGACTCGCGTCCTGCTAGAGGTGCTGAGCCTGAGCGTGCGGAGCCTGAGCGTGCGGAGCCTGAGCGGGCGGAGCCTGGGGGTGCTGAGCCTGGGGGTGTTGAGACTGGGGGTGCTGAGCCTGGGGGTGCTGAGTCTGGAGGTACTGAGACTGGGGGTGCTGAGCCTGGGGGTGCTGGGTCTGAGGGTACTGAGCCTGGCGTTGCTGAGTCTGGGGGTACTGAGCCTGGTTGTGTTGCAGTTGACTGTGAGGCGCCTGGAGGACCTCCCTCTTCGCAGCAGCTCCGTGAGTGGTACTCACGGTACTGCAGCCTCCGGCGGGGTGCGTCTCGGGCTCGTGGTGCTACTGGAGTTGGTACTCGTGTTTCCCCACCACGGCGGGAGCCGCCCTCTTCCCCACAGCTTCGAGAGTGGTACGCTCGGCACATCAGTCTCCGGAGTGGAGCTGCTGGTGCTGGGGTCCTCGGAGTTGACGCTGCTGCGGGTGCTGCGGACCCTGGTGCTGGAGGTGTTGCTGCTGCTGGCGGTGCTGCTAGAGGTGCTGCTCGTACTGAGGACCCTGGTGCTGGAGGTGCTGCTGCTGGAGGTGCTGCTGCTGCTGGAGGTGCTGCTGCTGCTGCTGGAGTGGAGGACCCAGAGGGTGGAGCTTCTGCTGGTGCTGACCCTACCGCTGGAGCTTCTGCTGGTTCGAGAGTTGCTGCACGGTCACGGCCGTACTTCGTTCCGCTCCTTCAGCAGGTTCTTAGTCAGTGTCCTCCTCTCGCCTTAGAGTGTCCTCCGTCTGTCCAGTCACAGCCACAGTTACCGCCTGCCTCCCCTCTCCCTGTGCCTACTCCGTACACTGGTCCGACTGGAGGTCTTGCTGAGAGACGTGAGCCTGCTTCACGTCCTGTGTCACCTGCGTCTCGTCGAGCGTCGCCTGTTCGTGCTGCTACCACTGCTAGTCGGGTCCAGCGTCAGCGTCCTCCTGCTGTCCCAGGCACTCACCAGATGGCGCTTCGTCAGTCCACTGCTCCGCAGCGTGTCGCTCTCCCGTCGCCTCCTGCGTCCTCTCTTCCTGCGCTTGCTGACCCCGAGTCAGACACTCTTCGCGCTGCCAGTCCTACTGTCACACGTCTCCTCGCTACAGTTGTCACTGACCCTTCCTTTGAGTCCGCTGCTGCGTCTGCCTTAGTCACTGAGCTTGTCGACTTTGCAGCTGCGTGTCGTCTAGACTACGCTGCGAGTCTTGTTGCTGAGTCTGAGTCTGTCTGTCCTCCGTACGTCGGGGGTGAGTGTGCTCTTGGCACGGACGTTCTTGAGGACAGGCAGGAGGAGGTTGGTTGCCTTGCCGCTGCTTTGCCCCATCTCGTGTCCATGCTTGTTGCCCCTGAGGGAGACCCGGATGCACCAGACATTCCGACCCCACGCTCTTACGCAGAGGCGATGGCCGGTCCCTACTCCTCTCAGTGGCAGTCAGCCATGGACACAGAGATGGCTTCCTGGAAGTCCACTGGCACATACGTCGACGAGGTTCCCCCACCTGGGGCGAACATCGTCAGTGGTATGTGGATTTTCAGGGTGAAGCGGCCGCCGGGCTCTCCGCCTGTCTTCAAGGCGCGTTACGTTGCACGAGGCTTCAGTCAGCGAGAGGGAGTTGACTTCTTCCAGACCTTCTCCCCGACCCCGAAGATGACCACTCTTCGGGTGCTGCTGCACGTCGCCGCTCAGCGTGACTACGAGCTCCACTCTCTTGACTTCAGCACAGCTTTCTTGCAGGGCAGCCTGCACGAGGAGATCTGGCTGCGCCGCCCACCTGGCTTCACTGGGTCGTTCCCTCCTGGTACCCAGTGGAGTCTCCGGCGGCCAGTCTACGGTCTCCGCCAGGCGCCACGTGAGTGGCACGACACACTGAGGACTACACTTGCGGATCTTGGGTTCGCTCCTTCTACTGCTGACCCGTCGCTGTTTTTACGCACCGACCCCTCGCTGCCGCCGTTCTACATCCTCGTGTACGTCGATGACTTGGTCTTTGCCACTTCTGACACAGTTGGTCTCGCTCACGTGAAGTCCGAGCTGCAGAAGAGACACACGTGCACAGACCTGGGTGAACTGACAAGCTATCTTGGCTTGCGGATCACCCGGGACAGAGCACGTCGCACCATCACCTTGACTCAGTCACACATGGTGCAGCAGGTCCTTCAGCGCTTCGGCTTCACGTACTCCTCGCCTCAGTCCACTCCTCTGCCTACGGGACACTCGCTCTCAGCTCTGCCTTCGGATGAGTCCGTAGAGCCGAGTGGTCCGTATCCAGAGCTTGTGGGCTGCCTCATGTACCTGATGACCTGCACTCGACCTGACCTTGCATACCCTCTCAGCATCTTAGCACGCTATGTCGCTCCCGGCCGTCACCGGAAGGAGCACATGGATGCAGCTAAGAGGGTGTTGCGCTACTTGTGCAGTACGTCGGGCATGGGGCTAGTGCTTGGAGGGCGAGACCGGCCTGTTCTCACTGGGCACTCAGACGCTTCCTGGGCAGACGATCAGGCTACTCAGCGGTCGTCCCAGGGTTACACCTTCAGTCTTGGCTCTGGCTCTGTCTCTTGGCGTTCTACTCGCTCTTCTTCTGTTCTCAGCTCCAGCTGTGAGGCTGAGATCTACGCCACGGCCATGGCTGCCCAGGAGCTTCGCTGGCTCACCTACCTGCTGACTGACCTTGGAGAGCAGCCTCGTTCTCCTCCAGTGCTGTACGTCGACAACAAGGCCACCATTGCCTTGTGTGGGGAGCACAGACTGGAGCACATGACGAAGCACATTGCTCTGCGCTACTTTCTTGCTCGAGAGCTGCAGCAGCGAGGTCAGCTTTGTCTGCGTTACGTGGCCACTCGGGCCAACACTGCTGACGTGTTCACCAAGGCGCTTCAGCCTTGTGACCATCAGCGCTTCTGTACTGTTCTAGGCCTCGTGCCTACTGTCCCTCATTTGCTCACTTCTTGACTTTGCTTGTACAGTGATCTCTATATATATATATATATATATATATATATACATGCATGCTTACTCTTGCTAGGTTGTGATTACTGTATCTCTTGTTCTTTTATAAATCTGCATGTGAACTGGTCTTGTGACCGCTTGCTTGTGCTCGGAACTTGTGTGGTATCCTTGAGATCCACCCTGAGCTTTGTTTTGCTTTGACTGGTCTTGTGACCCCTTGTTCTCCCCCACTTTGCCTATGGGGGTGTGTCAAACATTGTATGATGTGCTTGTTTAGGCTACAGTGGGTTAGGCTATAGTGGGTACACATTTCTAGGGTTAGGTTTGACCTATTTGTACCCAACACCCATTCTAGTCATTCATTCTCGTTTCTGATTATGACAAGGAACACATTGCTCTGACTGTACATTGTACAATCCCAGCTATACCGGCACCGAGTGCTCCGTAGCGAGATGAAACACTATACAGGCCATTGCACAGTGATCCCAACAGCGAGATTCGAACCTGCGCGCTTGCAGATCTAATGCGTAATCGAACCAGCTGAACCGCTAACCGTTGAACTTGAGTATTTTAGCATTCTCATATATGATAGTTTTGTAAAATACCCTGCCCAAACAAACCAACTGTTTTTTTACCCTGCATTTGTAAGGGAAAAAAAAATACCCTACGCATCAAGGTTGACTATAGCTAGAACCCTGATTACTAAGGGTGGCCCAAAACGAATCTGAAGCCCTGGTACGGTAATCAGACTTTTGTACTCTTGAACTCTGAAAATTCAGATTTTTTTTTTTTTTTGTACCAAGTCTGATTGATCAGACTAAAAATGTGGACTAAGTCTGACAAATCAGATAGCCCCATAACGAATCTGAGGGCCTGCCGGTGAATGACGAAGGCGGCGTTGACGTGGGCGTCAACGTCGGTGGTGACCAAGTCGGCAGCAGTGCGGGAGGCACGTCGTCGTGGCAGCGAGATGTGATCACGCCGGTGAATTCGGCGGCGTTTAGGCGCGAGGGATGCGGTCGTCGGCGGCTGGAGGCGACGTCGGAGGTCGACCTAGCGGTTTGTCGCCGATGTCAGCGACCCATGTGACTGCGGAAGGAATCGCGCCGAGCTATGGTTACTTCAAGTTCACGCCGAACAGGATCTCGATCACCCCCTTGCTGGTCGGTCGACCCGACATTCATCCCCTGACCGGCCGGCCTCTACTTCAGCCTCTCTGCGAGTGCTGTCACGTGTGTCTTTCTGCAACTAGGGCCCACCACCATTTCCGATTCACGGAACTCCCAAACGTACACACGGCACGCAAGAAAAGCGAACAGAACTGCCATGAAGAGCAATGCATGCTTCATTATTTACACAACAAATTTACACAGCCACAGGTGTTTGGTCCAGAGAGGGCCGGTTACAAGAAGCGAAAGAGATGTCTACTATAGGGGGGATGGAGAAGGTGCGACTCTCATGGTTGGGTGTGCAGCACCAGTCTTGAGAAAAGAACTGCCACGTGTACGCATCAAAAGCCTCTGCGTCCCTTTGGCCGACGAACCTGGGAGGTGCGAGGGAGCGAGGCGTGCAAGGGGAGAGAAGAGACAGGGGGAGGGAGAGTTGGAAAGGAAAGTGAACCTGGATGGTGTGGACTGTCTTGAGAGGTCAAGGAGACAGAGAGAGTGAGTGAGGTTGGTTGGTTGGTTGGAGGAGGAGTAAAAGGTGCGGAGAATGGACTGGTGTTAGAGAGGAAGCGGGGAGAACGTGGCTGGTGTTGTTGTGCATATGCAAGCCCCTTGGCAAGCATGCTTTGAGCTGACTCGGCTAGAAACACACCTGGAGAGCACGTGCGTGTGCTAGCGTGCACTGGAGAGCAGAGCACGTGTGCTTTGCAGGTGGGTAGCGTGTGTTGTGTCCATCTGCAAGCCCCTTCACAAGCTCGCATTGCCTTGCCACAACCTATCGCCAGCCCGCATCGCCCCCACAGCTAGCCCCGTAGTTGCATTGCTCCCACTGCACCCACACCCGCACTGACCTGCAGAAGGTGTCGTGGGGGTGCAGTAAGTGCAGCACACGCACTTCATGCACGTGCGGCTGCCCCAGCACGGCTAGCACCTCCTTGTCTGTGGCGTTCATTGGCAGCCGCAGCTCCCCGTATACTGACAGCGGGTCCGGTGGCTGCTGCTGCTGCTGCTGGTGCGGCATTAGGTGTTCTTGATGCTGCTGCTGCTGCTGCTGCTGCTGCTGCTGCTGGAGCTGGCGATGAGGTTGTTGGTTGTGGTGGTGCAGGGACGAGGCATCTGGGTAGTCTATGGACACATAGCGTCTGCACAGAAAGGAAGCACGAGGACGCACCAGAACAACAATGTGCGTAATGCGCATGGTGGTTCAGGACAGGACAGGAAGAGCTGCAACAGAGCGCTCACTCAGATGAGTTACATTTCATGCACACTGCCACCACCGCCCCTTCCGCCTCCCTCCTACACACACAACATTAACAACACCCATACCCTTGTCCCCTCCCTCCCAACCCAGTCTGCCACTCCACCCTCCCCACCATCCAGCATTATCCCCCACCACCCTCCACCTCTCCCCACCACCCCTCCATCCCACCTTGACGCCTTGATTTCTTCACTGGTGCGCGGGTCTTCTAAAAACGACGCAGGCCGATACACCATGTCGGTGGCATTGCTGCCCCAGTAGAGCGGCGAGATGAGGTAGTCCAGGGGGCACACGAACGGCGGGTCGCGGTCGCTGCCGGGCGCGCGGCACGGGTGCGACAGGGAGTCCCACCAGCGGTCGCAGAAGCAGGTGACGCGTGGGAGGATGATCTTGCGGGAGAGGAGCCACGCCAGGGCGAAGGCCTTCTGTGCCACGTGCTGTGGGGAGGGGCGGAGGGGAGGGGTTGGGCGAGGACGGAGAGCGGGAGGACAGAGAGGGGGAGGGGTGGGGGAGTGGGAAGTGGGAAGTGGTGGGGGAATGCATGAGGATGTGGTGGTGGTTGTGGTTTAGGGATTTTGACAAAGGAAGAGTGCATAGCATCGTGTGAACGAGAAGATTTAGGCATAACATGGCAGGGCATGGGCATGGCATTGCACGGTACGGCACAGAACGGCATGACACCGCATGACACCGCATGGCAAGCATGGCATGGCATGGGGCGTACATACATAGAAGTGTTCCATGGCGGCCTGGTGTCTGAGCATGCCGGGCTCCATGGCATGGATCCATGGCGGTGTGCTGTACTCCATGCTCAGGTAGTTGCCCTCCTCGTAGTTCCTGCATGCACGGCACATGCACACACACACATGCACATGCACATGCAGACGCACAAAGACACGCACATGCATAAGCACATGCACACACACATACACATACACATCAGCACACGCATGAAACACCAGGCATGGTTTAGATCACCAGTCCAGAATAACAAGCACATCCCCGTGCATCCATGCAGCCATGCCCTCCTGGACTGCCACTGCCGCAATAACCCGTCCTACGCCCATCCCCCATAGTAAACCCATACCACAGCCATCACCCCAAACCAGATGAAGCCCACACACAGGCTCCTCCCAGATAGCCCCAACTCATGCGAGAGGGTCCACTCCACAACCCACAGCCACTTCACACTCAGGATACAAGCTAGTGCAGCACATTCATCCCACCCACACCCACAGCCCTCTTCCCTCCCTAGCCACTCACTCGGGGGGGTCCACGGCCCACAGCCCAGCCTCTCGGAAGCGAGCAGCCTTGCCCAGCGCGTGGTGGAACTGGAACGTGTTGTGTACTGCCAGAGGGGGAGGCAGAGGCACGCGCACAGGCACAGGCACATGCTGCTGCTGCTGCTGCTGTAGTTCCTGCTGCAGTTGCGGCTGCGCCTGCCCCTCGGGACTTGCGTGCTGGTGCGGGGAGCCGTGCGGTTGTTGCACGAAGAACACGTGGCCGTTGGGCACGAGGGCGAGCGGCAGGATAGCCACGCGCAGCTGCCCGTTGAACGCCCAGATCACACGGTTGCTCGCCGCCACTGCTGCACTGCTCTCCACCGCACCGCTCTCTGCACTGTTTGTTGTGCTGTGTGCTGACCGCTGCTCCCCATGGTGGCGGGCCAGTGTGAGAGGGAAGAAGGGCGGGGTGGAGATGGGGAGGACGCCTTGCTGCTGAGAGCTCCCTGTGGTGGTGGCAGCAGCGGCAGCGGTGGGTTGGTGCAGGGGAGAGGTGACGACGCGGATGGGGAACATCTGGTAACGCAGCAGCAGGTTGAACGCATGCTGGTCGCCCCACAGGCTCTCCCACCCCTCGCTCGCTCCCTTGGTCCTGGTGCCACGGCGGGCAGAGACGAGAGGTAAAGGGAGGATTGGTATGGAGAGGAGAGGTAAGGAGAGGAGGCAGTGGGGCTGAATGTGCAGCGAAAGGAAAGATGAATGTTCACAAGCACAAACAACAAGTGCATGGGTCCGGTAGCACATGTAGAGAGAGACATGCCCGACATGCCCAACGTGCCCAATATGGCTTCGTGAATATTTGACTGTGGGAGCGGACTCAGAGCAGAGGGGGAGCGGACAGACAGACCTCATGGCGTGGTGCCAGGCGAGGGCGAATTGCAGCATGTGGGGGCATGCTCGCAGCAGCAGCACGCCCGTGTTGAATGCGTGCTCGTACGCGTTCCCAAACACCTCCTTGCCCCGCGCCGTCGCCCCCCGGTACCACGCCCCCTCCTCGCCCGTGTTGTTCAGTGGATCCACATGCAGGCTGGGGGGGGGGGGGGGGAAGGGGGGGAGGGAGAAAGGAGGAGATGGGGAGAAGGCTGGAAGTGAGATAAGGAGGGGAATGGGGAGAAGAGGGAAAAAGGAGGAGGAGGAGGGGGAGAAAGCAGAAAAGCGGGAGAAAAGGGAGAAAGAGAAGGGGGAGAAAGGCGAGAACGGGGAAGAGGGGGAAGAGGGGGTCTGTGATGGGAGAGGGGTAGAGGAGAGGGGGTGTGATGGGAAGAGTGGGAGAAGGAAGCAGAGAGCAGAAAGAAGGGAAAGGAAGCAGAGGGGGAACGGGGAGCAAGGAGCAGGGATTCCAAGGTAAATCATTCCCACAAGCACCCACATTCCACCACCCATCGTACACTCCCATAACCCACCGCTCCCCACCCCACCGCTCCCATTTCCACTGCTCCCCACCACACAGCCTCCACACGGGCGCAGCAGCTCACCTGGCCTCGTCATTAGCATGCGAGAGCGAGTCAGAGGACACCATGACATCCGCATGGCGCATGGCCCCCAGGTACAGCTCGTTATAGGGGTCGCGCAGCCACACCACGTCTGTGTCCGACAGCACCACGTCGCGTGCGCGCTCTAGCAGCGCTGTAAGCAGCGCCGTCTTGCACACGCCCATGCGCTGGAACGTGCCCGCGTCCGCGCGGAAGTCGTCTGACGGGAGCCCCGTGCGCAGATGCACGTGCGGGATGCCGCGCTGCCTGCATAACTGGTGGCGGGCGAAGGTGAGGGGGCGATGGGGGAGAAGGCGGGAAGCGGGGAAGGGGGGAGACGGGGAGAATGGGGAAGGGGGGCAATGCGGAGAAGGGGGGAAGGGAGTAAGGAGAAAGGAAAGGGGGAGAGGAGAGTGGGGAAGGGGAAAGGATGGATGGAAAGGAGGGAATGGCGGAGCTCAAGCAGGGAGGAGGAAAAAAGGAAGTTGGGAAAGCTAGAATCAGGTTAGGGGAAGGGGGGTTGAGGGGAGCAAGAATGAGGGCGGGCGCGCATGTCAAGGAAGGAAGAGTGTTATCCTATGATAGCAGTCGCCACGTCATCGCATGATCGGCAAAAGCTGACACCTATCTTTAACGGAAACGCGCAACGCGCATGTACTACATGGTATAATATAACAGCTAAACGCGTGGAAACCTGGTTGTGCTTGAAGCGAAGCATCGGAAAATCGGTTCCTAAGAAAATGGTTCCCATTGCTAAGCGGTGAGCCTAAACGCACTGCGGTGCGGGAATCTGTGTGGATAGACAGCAGTGCCGGAGACCGCGACAGAGAGAAGTAGGCGGAAGGAAAGCGACGGCGAGGCTGCAAAAGACGGTGAATGCGACGGTTCGCGTCAAGAAGCTAGAGAAAGGAGACGACCGCTAGATTGGAAGAGATCGGGGGAAAGAAGATTCTTCCGAGCAAGAACTGGAGGTTGGTAGGCCTGGAATAGGGGCAATCCCAAGGTTTTTCCCCGCCGGAACATTTTGTTGGGCCACAAACAAGTCACCCTTCCATGCCCCCGCAACTCGAAACCCTTTGAGGAAGAAAGCAAGCGCGCAGCACAACCTGGCGTACTTCACTGTAGTGAAGCGTCCGTTACTAAGAACTTGTAGTAGAACTCGACACGTCAGCATGCATACAGTTACCTCCGTCGTACGTCGGTCTAGCGCTCGCACGAGAGCGTTACGGTAAACCGACAATGTGATTGAAGGCGTAAAAAAAAAAAAAAAAAAAAAACAAGTTGTGAAGATGAAGAATTACCTCGGCGGTGCTTCGGTCCAGCGCGCCGACGAGAACGTTCGGGATGCTTGCGGTCTCCGACACGTGGAACCACCAGTTGAGCAGCATCGCGTGGAACGCGTCGTTCGCTAAAGTCACCATCACGGGCCGCCGCATGTCCATGTGCGCAAGCGCCGCGTCCAGCTCGTCCCCGGGCACTATGCGCGCGCGCATCATGGGGTCCGCTTCCGCGTCCCATACGTCGCCATGCGACTCATCGTGCGATGAGTCATGCGAGGATTCAAGCGACGCATTTTCGTGCGGCGTTGCATCGTGCGACCGCGACGAGTCCATTGATTTCAACGGGCCGCGCCGTCCATCGCCGTTCTGCTCCGCGCCATCCCTCAATTCCTCCGCATAATACGGTCTCGGAATCTCCGCACCCCCCTTGGCGCTTTCCTGCCCCTCTCGTATCCCCACCCCCCCTGCTGCGTTCACGGCCTCTCCGCGCGCCTCAAACGGCGCGCCTCCTGCTGACGTAGCGCTGATGTCGATCGTCGCGGAAGCCGCGGGGCGGGGAATGGGAGTCGCCAGCGCGGCCGTCGCGGCATCGTCGTCGTCAATTGGTATCGCCTGTCGTCGCCACAACGCACCACCGCCACCTCCACCTCCACCTCTCCCGCCGCTACCGCCGCCGACCATGGCAGTCCACCGGCTCTTCAGGTTCACACCCGCGGCTCGGAGTCGTGACGCCATCCACGTGCGGGTGCTCCCATCGCCACCGCCGCTGCCGCCGCCGCCGCCGCCGCCGCCGCTGAGGAGCCTCCGCAGTTCCCCCGTCGCTCCAGCAACAGCGCTGGAGAGTCGGTCGGAGGCTGCTCCCCCCGCTGCCGCCCAACGTGACGGCTGCGGGCGCGGCGGCACTAGATTCGCCTCTGCGCCGAACCTCGTCGCTGTTGCTGAGGCTGTAGCGCGATGCTCCCGCGGGGCGGGGAGAGGTATGGTGGCAGTACTAGCGGGGCGTGGGACGAAGGGACGGCGAAATTCGCCACGCGATGGCTCCTCGGGGGTTGCAGATTCCGCCGTCGCTGGCGCGGAATCCAAGTGTGCGCCAGTGCGGCAGCCGTGCGACGCTTTACAATCCGACGACTCGTGTGAATTCGTGAGAATGTTCCACAAGCGGAAATTTCGTCGCAGAACGACCCGTGGATGCTCCCCCGTCGCAATGCTGTCGCTGAGCTCCACATTTGCTTCGTCGCCACCGCCGCCACCGAATGCGGAGGAGCGACTTGTTCTGCCGTGGCCGCAGCGCCACGTGATGCAGAAGGATCGGAGGACTGCGGTTGCCACGAGCAGCAGCAGCAGAGACAGAAACGCGCGCCGAGCCGCCGCTCTGGAGACAAAAGAGGAGGTCGGACGGAACCCCGCAAAACGCGGCGTCGTTTGCGGATTGCACGATCTTGGCGGTGACAGGGACGGGACCGTGAGGCTTTTCCCACTCCGATCAGTTAAGGGCGTGGGGTGTCGGGATTTGGGCGTTATGGTGCGTAGTCTTTCCGGCGATGGGCAGCATTTGGCGGAGAACCCGCCAAAAACGGGAGAGAGGAAGAAGAGAAGCGCATCGCGATTAGTTTCCCGCAACATCGTGGTATACCACGAGCTGTAATTTGAAGAATGGACAAGAATTTATCCAGTTAAACCCTGAGGTAGTGCGAGTACCGAAGACTCTCTCGAAACTTTCCGAACGCTGGAAAGAAAAAAAGGCCGAGAATTGCCCAACTCGAGACGGTAGTTTTTACATACCACACCAGGAACGTACGGTGAGGCACAGTTGCGCACAGAGTCGTGTTTCTAAGCTGTCTAGTGCAGAAATGCAAGTTGAGCGGCAAGTGATTACAGATTGCTGCTTGTTGTCGAGTGAGGGTGATTGATAGCGTATTGCTGCTGCGCCAGACTAGAGGTATGTTTGGGTGCACCAGTACGGATCCAGACGAGAGGAAATGAGCCGCCGCCAGCTGAATGAGGGGGTCAGGGGGGAGCAATGGGGAGAGAATGGGGGGAATATGCGCGCAGCCTTCAGGGTCGAGTTGAGAAGATGATAGGTCATCAGAGGTGGGGGGGGGGGGGGAGAAAGACAAGTGCCGCTCGATGTGCCGCACGTGCGTGGGTTTGAGACAGCTGACAGGGAGAATATCATATTAGGGCCGAATAGTGCAAGGAGGGTGATCGAAGTAGGGCCGGAAATTATCGACCGTAGGATTTCAACCCGGAGCTGACCAAACGACTCGGCAAACAAGCCGAACCATAAGTAAACGTTATTTGCTCAAACAAACCCATTTTTGTGTTCGTATCGTTTCTTGAGGGTTTTGACCGCCGCTTACTACAGCGCGCGCGTCGCCTTATTCTGGAATTGAATTCGGCGTGTCAAATCGTGATTACGTAACAACATAATATATTCTGGGTGATGCATGCCACCTACCCAATCGGAAACCACAGAAAAACATAAATTATTACCCATTCGGAAACGGATGCGACTCGGGAGGGATCAGCCCTAAATACCAGGAAGGTCCAATTTTTAGGGTTTATCCATCACGAAATTGCATCCAGGTTCCCAATGAGTTTTAGTTTTTTGGCTGCCCTAGAGTTCCAGGTAGAGTCGGCTCGCTAAACGACACGCGAGCGAAAATGCTAACCGGTACATGCCACTAGTAACATATTTAAGTACAATAAATTAAGACTCTCTGTTAAATCCTCTTTGCGAAGCGGTTTGGTAATTTTCGGGTCTCTCGGCCCCTGGTCGATCACCCCTCTGGCACTGTTCGGCCTCTGTATGATCTTCTCCCGTGCGGGGAAGGGAACGAGGGAAAACTCTTCCCCGCCCGCAGAGAAGACAACCCGCCTATCATCCGGGGCGGATTGCTGTTGGGCGGCAACAAAGACACGAGCACGGGGGGAGAGTGAGAATATGTGCGCCAGTCCCGCTGGCTCCTGGGGGGAAGTGCAAGGTCGGGGATGGGGAAGAGGGCACTTTGGGGCCGCATTTTGGGCGACATGTGGGCGGGCGGACAAGTCCACCGGAAGGAAGAGCAGGGCGGATGAGGGGCCGTGCGGAAGCGACGAGATTCGTTACATGCAGGTTTGGGAACATGCTTGTCAGGATGAACAGATCTGGCTCGGTTCTGCCATGACAGGGAGGGGGACGAGGTGACGTGTGGTTTGGTGAGCTCTGGGGGTCCGAGGTGTTGGCTCGAAGGGTTCTGCTGAACCAGTTGTGCGTGGCTCGGATAGGCTCGGGTTCGTGACGGGGCTCCGAGATTGTCCGCAGAAAACCAGGCGAGGGAGGGGAGGGAAAGGAGCGCAGAAACCCTGAAAGTCTGCTCCCCTCGGACATGAGAACGTTTCCGGAACATATGGCAATGGCAAAGAGCTGATAAGCACCTTTGAGCAACGGAAAAGTGCTACTGTGGCAGCGAGGATGATCCACTGTGGTTTGGTCTGGTCCTCAGCAATCGCCGGGCGGCACGAGTGGAAGTTGGTGGTACAGCTAATGCTCGTTAGAGCCCCTCCTGGTCGCCTTGTGAAGGGGGTCTGTAAGCTAAAAAGTCATTTCGTCGGTTCGTCAAGGGTTTCGTCAGGCTTTGCGCGTGCATTTAACGCGCATATGGTTACCACTCGCTTTGTCCGTTATGTAACAGTGTCGGGTGGCACCTGTTGTCAAAAGTGCGCGTTACCGAAATCCACACGAAAGCAAAACTGAACCGTCAAGCAACATCAACATTTGTTCAACTTAGATTGAAACAGCTGACACACAAAGCCGGGCCAATCACGAAATACCACATGGCCCCTCATCCTCTCTACTGCAATTGTGCCCGTTACGTGCACAATCCAAACACATAGCAAATCCACAAAAACTCCACCATCCTAACATTCGACTCCTCATGAGTCCACAAAACGAATTCATACATGCATCCACTATGCCGCCTCCACGTACCCGCCCATCGCGGCGCCAACCCCGGCGTCCAGAAGCTGCTGACGGCGGGACGGCTGGTTCATCCAGCCAGGCAGCACTCGGCCCCTCGGACGCGGGGTGTCAGGCGGCGGAGTTACGGTCGGCGAAAGCCGCGGCGGCGGGGCCGTGTTGAGATTGAGCGCGGGGCTTGCCCGCTCCATGCGCTCCCTGATAATCGGATTACGAATGTCGAACAGGTGGCAAAGGTCGCGCGGCGTCACGCTCACGGCGCGAGCGTAGCCGATGAGCATCTCGCTGGCCGCCCGTGCCGTGCGCCACGCTTCACGGCCGATTGGGTCGGATTCGTCATACATGGCCTGCATCTTGGTAGGCGCCCTCCATAGCTCCGCCACCAGGCCCACGTCCGCATCTTCTGGTGTTGCGCCCGCTGCCGCCTCCGCGCACGTCGGCTCGCCCTCGTCGATGGCGACGTACTCGGCGGCGGTCATTGCGCCGGTGCCGAGGCCGAGTCCGCCAATGAGCTCGCCGACGTCGTCGATGTCGTCGTCGAGCTCAATGTCGAGGTACGCAGGGGGGGTCGGCTCATCATCATATACATGGGTGAGCTCCAGGGACCACGACAGAGGCATGCAGCCCGTACGCCAAAAGCACCTCTGGATGGTGCGCGCACCGACACTCATCCAGGCGTCTGAGAGCCACCCCAGCACATCGCGCAGATTGGGGCGATAGCGGGCCACGGCGCTTGTTGCGCCGTCGTCGTTCCACAGCGCCGTGAAGGCACGCAGCCAGTGCTGGCGATAGTGTGAAAATGAGAACGAGAATGAATGAACTATGAATGAAGTGAGTACAAATATGAAACCCTAATTAGGTTGTACCCCCTATGGGATACCCCACTATAGCCTACACAAATAAGTAAGCTATAATGTTCTGACACACCCCCATAGGCAAAGTGGGGGAGAACAAGGGGTCACAAGACCAGTCAAGCAAAGCAAAGCAAAGCTCAGGGTGGATCACAAAGTCACCACACATTCCGAGCACAAGTTCAAGGGCCACAAGGCCAGTTCACATGCAAGATCATATATAGAGATATACAAGAGTCAAGCAAAACAAGAGCAAGAGTATATATAGGTCAAGGTACAAGCAAGGTCAAGAAGTGAGCAAGTGAGGCAAGACAGGCACAAGACCCAGCTGCGTGCAGCAACGCTGATGATCACAAGGCGCAAGTGCCTTGGTGAAGACATCAGCAGTGTTGGCCTCAGAGGCCACGTACGCAAGTCGCAACTGTCCACGCTGCTGTAGCTCACGAGCGAGAAAGTAGCGGAGAGCAATATGCTTTGTCCTGTGCTCCAGTCGATGCTCTCGACACAAGGCCAGCATGGCCTTGTTGTCTACGTACAGGACTGGAGGAGAACGAGGCGGCTCTCCAAGGTCGGTCAGCAGGTAGGTGAGCCAGCGAAGCTCCTGAGCAGCCATAGCCCCGGCGTAGATCTCAGCCTCACAACTGGAGCCGAGAACAGAAGACGAGCGGGTAGCCCGCCACGAAACAGAGCCGGAACCAAGGCTGAAGGTGTAACCCTGTGACGACCGCTGCGTAGCCTGGTCGTCAGCCCAAGAAGCGTCCGCGTGCCCTGTGAGGACCACTGGACTACGCCCTCCAAGCACTAGCCCCATGCCCGACGTACTGCACAAGTAGCGCAACACCCTCTTCGCTGCAGCCATGTGGTCTGGTCGGTGTCTCCCAGGAGCAACATAGCGTGCAAGAATGCTAAGAGGGTATGCAAGGTCAGGTCGTGTGCAGGTCATCAGGTACATGAGGCAGCCAACAAGCTCTGCATACGGGCCACTCGACTCTACGGACTCATCCCAAGGCAGAGCTGAGAGCGAGTGACGAGTAGGCAGAGGAGTGGCCTGAGGCGAGGAGTACGTGAAGCCGAAGCGCTGAAGGACCTTCTGCACCATGTGTGACTGAGTCAGGGTAATGGTGCGGCGTGCTCTGTCCCGGGTGATCTGCAAGCCAAGGTAGCTGCGCAGTTCACCCAGGTCAGTGCACGTGTGTCTCTTCTGCAGCTCGGACTTCACGTGGGCGAGTTCAGCAGTGTAAGCTGTGGCAAAGACCAAGTCGTCGACGTACACGAGGATGTAGAACGGCGGCAGAGAGGTGTCGGTGCGCAGAAACAGCGACGAGTCGGTAGTAGAAGGAGCAAACCCAAGTGCCGCCAGCGTAGTCCTCAGTGTGTCGTGCCACTCAGGTGGCGCCTGGCGGAGACCGTAGACTGGACGCCGGAGACTCCACTGGGTACCAGGAGGGAAAGACCCAGTGAAGCCAGGTGGGCGACGCAGCCAGATCTCCTTGTGCAGGCTGCCCTGCAAGAAAGCAGTGCTGAAGTCGAGAGAATGCAGCTCGTAGTCACGGTGAGCAGCAACGTGCAGCAGTACCCGAAGAGTGGTCATCTTCGGGGTGGGGGAGAAGGTCTGAAAGTAGTCAACTCCCTGCCGCTGACTGAAGCCACGAGCCACGTAACGCGCCTTGAAGACAGGCGGAGAACCCGGCGGCCGCTTCACCCTGAAAATCCACATGCCACTGACGATGTTCGCCCCAGGAGGGGGAACAGCGTCAACGTAGGTGCCTGTGGACTTCCAGGAAGCCATCTCTGCATCCATAGTTGCCTGCCACTGAGAAGAGTAGGGACCCTCTATCGCCTCCGCGTAAGAGCGCGGAGTCGGGATGTCTAGTGCATCCGGGTCTCCCTCAGGGGCGAGCAGTACAGACGCGAGATGAGGTGAAGCGGCGGCCAGACACTGGAACTCCTCCTGCCTGTCCTCAAGGACGTCCCTGCCTAGGGCACACTCACCCCCGACGGACGGAGGACAGGCAGACTCAGACTCAGCGACAAGACTAGCAGCGTAGTCTAGACGACAGCGCGCAGCAAAGTCGACAAGCTCAGTGACAAGGGCAGACGCAGCAGACGACTCGAAGGAAGGGTCAGTGACAGCAGTAGCAAGGAGACGCGTGACAGTGGGACTGGCAGCACGAAGAGAGTCCGACTCCGGGTCGGCAAGAGTAGGAAGAGAGGACTCAGGAGGAGAAGGCAAAGGGGCACGCAGAGGAGCAGTGGACGGACGCAGAGACATCCGGTGCGTGCGAGGGACAGGAGGAGGACGCTGACGCGAACCGCGACCACTAGTGCGTGCAGGGTAAACAGGCGACGCAGGAAGAGACGCAGGCTCACGACGCTCAGTAAGACCTCCAGTCGGACCAACGTAGGGAGAAGGAGCAGGCAAAGGGGAGGCAGTCTGTAGCTGTGACTGGGACTGGACAGGGTGTAGACCCTCTAAGAAAGGCGGAGGAGGACCAGGAGAAGGTGTAAGACCAAGAACCTGCTGTAGGAGCGTAACGAAGTACGGTCGGGGCCGCGTGGCGTCGCCAGAAACAGCAGAGACAGCACCAGTACCCCCAGCAGGAGTACCCGCTCCAGCAGCACCTCCAGCAGCACCTCCAGCAGCACCAGCAGCAGCTCCAGAACTCCCAGCAGCACTAGGAGCACTGCCAGTCAGACCGCCAGCAGTAGTCTCAGCGCCAACACCTTCAGCAGCACCAGCTCCAGGAGAACCAGCAGGCCCAGCAGCTCCAGCACCCACAGCACGAGCACCTCCGGGACACGCGACAGCAGCACCCTCTGCAGCCGAAGAACCTCCAGCACCAGCAATACGCCTCCAGCGCCGGGCAAACCACTCACGCAGCTCCTGTGGGGAGAGTGGCTCTCGGCGCGACGAAGCACCTCCAGGCGGAGAACCTCCAGGCGAAGAACCTTCAGGCTCAGCACCCTCAGGCAAGGCCCCTCCAGGCGGAGCACCCTCAGTCGCAGCACCCCCAGGCTCAGCACCCCCAGACTCAGCACCCCGAGGCTCAGCACCCCCAGACTCAGTACCCCTAGGCTCAACACCCCCAGGCTCAGCAACCCCGGGCTCAGCACCCCCAGACTCCGCACCCCCAGGCTCAGCACCCCCAGGCTCAGCTCCCGCAGCAGCACCAGAGTCACCAGTGATCTCAACAGGCTCGACCTCATCTACCTGGGACACACCTGAAGGGGCAGGACCCTGAGGGGGGAAGGGGTCTACCGGGGGGGGACCTGGTACCAAGAAGAGCGGGGGCGGGGGAAGGGAAGGAGTGCGGTAGTAGGGTACCGACTCGTCGAACGTGACGTCCTGGGAGGACAGAACACGTCGAGAGGTGGGGTGGTAGAACTGCCACCCAGGGGCGTCGGGGGGGAACCCCAGGAAGACGCAGGGAGCAGCGCGAGGGGACAACTTGTCCGCAGACAAGTCGCGGACAAACGCCCGAGATCCCCAGACTCGGAACGCCGACGCATCGCCAACCTTCCCCGTCCACAGCAGGGCTGGGGAGGTCTCCGGCCTGGAGACCCTGGGGTGGAGGTTGATCTGATGCGCCGCGTATCGAACCGCAAACGGCCACAGAAAATGGGGGGCAGCCGCATGCATCATAGACGTACGAGCGACGTCCATGACCATGCCAATGCGGCGCTCTGCAATCCCATTTTGCTGCGGTGAGTCCGGAAGCGTGAAGGTCTGGCGGATGCCTCGCGCACGACAGAAGGCACGCAGAAGGCCAGAGGAGAACTCTCCGCCTCTGTCTGAGTGCAGACGCAACACAGGAAAGTCCGAGCCAAAGCTCTGCCTGAGCCGGAGACGAGCTGCGCGGATCCAGTCGATCAGCACCTCAGTGACATCACCCTTGCTACGCAAGGGGAAGACTGTGGTGTAACGCGAGTAGTCGTCAACCACCAACAGGAAGTAGCGCTCGTGACCGAGTCCACGGACGCGGGCAGGGCCCCACACGTCCATGTGAAGTGTCTGCAACGGAGCCTCTGTCGGGGGAAACTGGGAGGAGTGAGGGGCAGCACGCTGGCGCCCCTCGACACAGGGGACACAAGCAGGGCCAGGGCCCTGAGGAAGGGGAGGGAGGGACCGGGGGAGACCAGACACAAGAAGACGGGAGGCCATGCCTCTGAGCCGAAGCAGAGAGGGGTGGCCAAGGCGGTGGTGCCAGAGGAGAGTCTCGTGAGACAGACGGCGACACGAGCAGGGGGCAGACTCAGGACCAGACCTGGACGCTGCAGCAAACACCTGACCAGACGAAGGGACTCTACCAGACTCAGCACCGGGAGGAGATGCAAAGGTCAGTGTGTACAGGCTCGACCCTGGCTGACGTGTAAACGTAGCCAGGTGGCGACCTGTGCTAGCCTCTGTGCAGTGTGTCACCCGCTGACGAGCAGGAGTGAACTCGTGGACCCCCACATCCTGTAGGTCAGCACCACTCACCAGGTTCGTAGAGAACGAGGGGAGGTAAAGACCAGTCAGGGTGCCAGAGGGAGCCGCCGGACACGGGAGGACTGTGGAGAAACGAGACAGGACAGGACCCCCAGAGGGGTCAGCCAGGGACACCGCAACCGGCCGACTAAGCGGCGTGAGAGTGGTGCGGTCCCGAAAGAAGGAGCGAGACGCCCCAAAGTCAAGGGTGAAGGTGTAGGAGGCAGAAGTCGACACAGTACCTAAGAGGGCAGACTCACTAGCACCTGAGAGCACAGACGCACTGGCACCTAGAGCAGCA